GACTACATAGTCAATAGAAAATATGATAACTGGTAAGGAGATTGAATCCATAATTAGAAATCTCCCAACAGTGTGGTGCCCGGGGCTCAAAGGAGGAGGGTGCTGGCCCCATATGCCGGAAGTGGCGGGTTCAAACCCAGCCCCGGCCAAAACTGCAAAAAAAAAAAAAAAAGAAAAAGAAATCTCCCAACAAAGAAAACCCCTGGACCTAATGGCTTCACTGATGAATTCTACTAAATAAAGAAAAACTAACACCAAAATCTCTCAAATTTTATTATCCAGCTCACTCCTGTGAGACCAGCAATATCTTCATACCAAAGCCAGACAGATACTAGAAGAGAAGAAAACTGTAGATCAATATCCCTTATGAACATCGATACAAAAATTCTCAACAAAATACTACCAAACGGAATTCAGTTAAATCCATTTAATTAAATGAATTACACACCACGACCAGGTGGGATTTGTTTATGGAATGCAAGTATAGTTTAGCATACAAAACTCAGTCAATAAAATACACATTAACAGGATGAAGGAGAAAAAACCCCATGTGATCATCTCAATTGGTGCAGAAAAAACATTAGACAGAATTTAACACCGTCTCAGGGTAAAACACTCAACAAACTGGGAACAGAAGAAAACTACCTCAACACAATAAAGAGCCACTTTATATGAAAAACTCATAACAAACATTACATTCAATTGTGAAAAACTGAAAGCTTTTCCTATGAGGTCAGGAACGGGCAAGGAAGCTTGCTCAGCATAGTACCAGAAATCTTAGCCAGAGAAACTGTGCAAGAAAAAGAAATAAAAAGCATTCAAATTGCAAAGGAAGAAGTAAAATTGTCTGTGATGATATGATCTTACATGTAGAAAACTCTAAAGATTCCACAAAACTGTTACAACTAATAAATTTATCAAAGTAGCGGGATACAAAATCAATACACAAAGATCAGTAGCATTTCTACCCACTAACAATTAATAATCCAAATAGGAAATTAAGAAATCAATTCAATTTACTATTGTATCAAAAAGAATAAAATACTTAGAAGTTAATTTAGGAGGTGAAAGACTTATACACTGAACATTACAAAACATTCTTGAAAGAAATTAAAGAATCCATATTCATGGATTGTAACTTAATATTGTTAAGCTGTCAGTACTACTCAAATTGATCTCAGATTTAATGTAATCCCAAGCAAAATACCTGTGAGTTTTTGGCAGGAAAAAAACCATCCTAAAATTCATATGGAATCTGAAGGCATGGAAATGGCAAATTGGTCTTGAAAGAAAAGAGCAGAGCTGAAGGACTCACAAGTCTTGATTTCAAAACATATTGGAGAGGGATAATGACCAACAGTGCGGTCCTGGCACAAAGACAGACATATAGACCAATCGGATAGAGTAGAGAGCCCAGAAATGAACCTTTGTGTATATGGTCAAATGATTTTTAACAAGAGTGCCAAGACCATTCAATATAGAAAAGACAGTGGATGGTGTCAACAAATGGTAGATAGATATCCACTTGCAAAAGAATGAAGTTAGACTCTCACTTAACACCATATACAAAAATTAAAATAGATCCCTGACTTAAATGTGAGACTTAAAATTTTAAAACCCTTAGAAGAAAACACGAGGCAGTAACTTCATGGCATTGGATTTGGTATTGATTTCTTGGATATGGTAACAAAGGCACAGGCGACAAAAGAAAAAACAGATAAATTGGGCTGCATCAAAATCTAAAACTTTTTTTGCATCAAAGGACACGATCAATAGAGTAGAAAGGCAGCCCAGAGAACAGGAGAAAGCACCTGCAGATCGTGTAACTGATGAGGGATTAATATCCACAGCACAGAGAGAATGCCTAAAAATCACCAAAAAGGCAAAAAACAAACCCAAACGAATGATTCAAAAATGGGCAAAGGAATTAAATACACATTTTCCTAAGAAGATATACAAATGACCAATAAAGCATGTGAAAGACGTTCCACATCACTAATCATTAGGAAAACAAAAATGAAAATTATAATGAAATACCACCTCACACTGATTAGAATGGCTACTACCAAAAAAATCCAGAAAATAACAAGTGTTGATGAAGGTATGGAGAAATTGGGACTTATGTGCTCTGTTGGTGGGAATGTAAAATGGCATTGTAACTGTGGAAAACAGTAAGGTGATAGACTAAAAAATTAAAAATAGAATTACCAAATGATCCAGTTAATTACTGCGTATATATTCAAAAGAAATGAAAGTAGGATCTCAAAGAGATTAAGTGTACACCTGCATTCACAACAGCATCACACACAGTAGCTAAAACATGAATACAACCCAGTGTCCAGTGGCAGATGAGGGGATAACAAAATGGGGTACAGACATACAGTGGAATATTATTCAGCATTAAAAAGGAAGGAAAGTCTGACACATATTACAACTGGGATGAACCTGGAGGACATTATACTAAGTGAAATAAGCCAGTCACCAAAGGACAAATATTATATGATGCCTCTTCTGTGAGTCACCTAGTGTAGCTGATTCATGGAGGAAGAAAGTAGAGTGGCCGGTGCCAGAGCCTTGGTGAGTGTGTGTGTGTGTGTGTGTGTGTGTGTGTGTGTGTTAGTGTTTCATAGATTTAAGTTTTGCAAATGAAGAGCGTTCTGGAGAGGGACAGGGCGATGTTGCATAACAGTGTGGGTGTACTTAGTATCGCTGAACTGTGTGACATTTTAAAATAGTTAAGAAAGTAAATTTTATGTTGTGTGTATTTTGACACAATAACAAATCTGGGGAAGAAAAAGCTCTAACAAATCAGTAAAAAATGAACACCCGTTGGGAACATGGGGACAACACAGCCAGGCAAGTTACAATAAAACTATAGTCAGAGAGCAAATAAAGTCCAAAATAAAGACCAAAGAGATTCTGGAGAAACGCACAACCAGGTATGATCTTCAACTATGAAATGGGCAAAAAGAGAAAAAAAAATAGTGATACTGTCCATTGTGGAGAACACCAGGGCCCTTCTCCAGTTCTCTGATGCATCTGACAGTGGGCTTGAAAAACTTAACTTTTCATACATTCAGACCCAGAATCTGCTCTTCCGAGAGAGCTTCCTGAGAGCTCCCCTCACTGCCCACCACAGGCCCCTGCAGCTGTCTGGGGGGAATGTTGGTGCCTTAGACATTCACAGCAGGCCTAGTGCAGAACTGGGCCCAAGACCCTGCCTGCTTGAGGGTGTGTGTGCCCCACACCACCCCCAGGCTTTGCACACACATGCCAAAGAGGCTACAGGAGGGACCAATTCATCAAAATGTGAACCGAATTTACAAGGAAGGAATCCATCTCTGTTTTTCTTAAAATAATCACGAAAACCACGTTTCCTCAGCCTTTTTATAAAGCGTTTGGTGGCTGTGAACAGCCTGTCGACCCTGGGAGTAGACCCTGTTAAGTAGGAGGCAGATGCTTTTAAGCCTGACCTTGTTCTACAGATGAGAAAACCGAGACCTGGTGCCCCTCCCAAGGCCCTGGCTCCTCCTCCATCTGAGGGCCGCACTGGTCCTCCACAGTTTTCCCACCCCCACCCCACAGAGCTGCACCTTTCAGCGTATCCCCACTGGCGTGGACTGCGCTGCATAGCACAATAATCCATGCTCCATGTGGTAAGGTGGCAAGGTGGCACGAGCCTGGACTTTCCTAGTGGACGTTCCTTTCCCTGATGCTTCCATGGCAAGTACCCCAGGGACAGCCCAGACATGTTGGTGTCTTCACGGGGTTTCCCAGCATAGGGTCCGCAGAGCGGCCCACAGTCCACCAAGACCCCTGAGCCCAGCAGAGAGAGTGCCTGTGCTTGGCACTTCTAGGCTGATCCTGGGGTCACCTGTGCCCACCCCTGGGCCTTTTTTTGGAATTAAAACTATGCGGTTTTAAAAATAGTTAAAAAAATTATAAAGTGACGGCGGAATCTGTGGCTCTCAAGACTCGTTCTTTTTTGGTGTCACTAAAGTGAAGATTCTTTTCTTCAGAGACACTTGGCAGTGTGTGGGACTAAAGCCGGCCGTGCCTGGTCCTGGGTACAGGGCTCGCTGTTCCCAGTGGTCTGTGACCCAGCTGCACACCCAGGGCTCCACATGGCAGTTGCAGAAACCAAGCCCTGTGGGTCCCCAGCTCCTGGGGTCTCCGAGCCGGTGTCGGGTGTGGGCTGTGGGCACTATCAACCTGGTCCCCACCTCACTGAGGGGGCCCCTCACTCTGCCCGTGAGCAGAATCTGGGTCTGGAGGATGGCGGTGTAGGGGATCCAGCCCTGAGGAGGAGGAGGAAGTGATGGGGGCTGGGGGTACGACTCAGTTCTCCTCCCTCATGGCATCAAGGACCCTCCTGTCCGGCAGAACTCAGTCTGGCCTTCTCCAAGGAGGAGCCTGCCGGCCGAGGACTAGCACCATCGGAGACCCTGCGTCCGGTTCCAAGTTAAAGAGAAAGTTGCCCCCATTTCGCGGGACAGAGGGGAAACCAAACCCCGCAGGCTTCGAAGGCCAGAGTACAGACGCCTGAGGCTGCGCCCCGACCCGGCCAGTCACCAGAGCTGCGGAGCCTCGGTGCCCAGTTCAGTAGAGGAAACCTCTCCCCGACCAGACGGCGCCGCGCATGCAGTCAGCTCGGCCGATTGCTGGCTGTTTGGGGACAGCAGTGCGCACCGAAGGCGCGGATCATTGGGGAGGGGAGAGTGGGGGCTGAGCGTGGGCCACGCGGCCGAAGTGGAGAGCCACAAAAGCGGGCGTGGCCCCCAGCCTCCTAGTGTAGAAAATCCAGTACTCTGGGGACCGCCCAGTCCCACGCAGCGGTCCCGCAGTCCCTGGCCTGCCTGGAGTCGCGCTTCCCCGCTCCCCGCACTTCGGCGCTCTCGGGTCAGGACTTGCGGACCCGGCGCCTGGGCAGTTCCACGGGCTCAGCCACATCCCCGACGGCGGGTGCCCGGGGTCTGGCCCGGGGTGGGAGGGACGCTTACCCGATCGCGGAGAGCGCGCGTCGGGCGTCCCAGCTGGACACGTCGGAGGAGCTCAGAGTCCCGACCGCTGGAGACGCGGGCGCCTAGTGGGCCAGAGGGAGGGGACCGCGGCACGGGCCGCCCACTTTATACCCCCAGCCCCACCCGCCACGGGTGAGTCGGAACGAAGCAGCCACCGGGAGGCGCTGCGGCCCTTCTGATGGGCCTGGCCGGGGCGGAGGACCAGCTGGCCCCGAGGGGTAAAGAGGGTTGGGAGGGGTGACTGAAAGGGGGCGGGAGGAGTGGGTCGCAGGTCAGGTGTGGGACGCTCAAGAGGGGTGGAGGGGAAGGGGGCTGATGGGACTGGTCTGCGCTGCGGGGTAGGGTGGGGTGACTGGGTGGGGCATGAGAGGAAGCTGAGGGGCCCGGGAAGGACCGGCAGGAGGCATGGTGACGGCCAGCAGCCGCGGCTGGGCGGGTGCACCCGCCACCTCTCTGCACAATAGTACCGGGAGAAGTTGGGTTGTGCCCAGCCGCTACCCATCCGCATCGTCTCCGACTTCATGATTCGGCCTGGCTGCCTGTCGCCTCCTCTCCACTTCCTGGAAATCCTGGCTATGGACCAAAGTCTACTCCGGGCCTAGGACATTGGGGACCGCGCCCTGCTCGAGGCCGATCCTCTTGCTCCAGACACCCATGAGCAGGCTGAAACCCCCCTGGCAGGGCTGGGGCACCGCCCCGCCGTCAGAACATGCTGTGGGCTTCCTGTGCTGTGTACTGGTTCTGGGTCCACCGGCAACCTGCACAAGCCGGGGGCTTCTAGGGAGGGAGAGATGCTGTCGGAGATGAGAGCCAGTTGGGCCTAAGGTGCTGCAGGGGACAGGCCAGGGCCTGGTGATGCTGGCCACACCATCCTTTGGTGCATGAACTGGGCCTGGCTCTGGGCCATAGGGGCCATTGGATGACCCTGAGCCCCGCCAGGCAGGGTGAGAGGGGTCCTTGACAGGGTTGGGGTGAACAGGCTGTGTTTGGGATCCTCATTTCCCACCAAATTTAGTCCTTGAAGGGGGCCAGGCGGCCAGGTGGTGCGGCTCCAGCTCCACTGAGCAGTTGTGCAAATCTCTGCTGTAGCCCCTTCCCCCGGGAGGGGAGACTTTGAGCATCTGAGTCATCTGTGCCCCAGAAGGTGGCCTCCCTATGGGAAACCCTCCTGTCTTTAGGCCCATCCCCCTCTCCACTATCACTTTCCATCTGTATTTCTCCCCTGACCTGATGGTAAGGAGCTGAGGGAAGGGGTCTGTGGAGCTGCCTTTGTGTTCTCACCAGATGCTGAGGGAACAACTTCCCAGTGTAAGGAGGAAAAATGCCACCATGGAGCTGCAGGACAGTACATTGGGAGCTTGTCCCAACACTCCTGCCTGCCATCCAAGGATCTGTGAGGCCTGCCCTGGCTCCCACACAGGAGTGCATGCCTCCCCCCAGCTCCTGCTGTCAGGAACCCTCTGCCTGGAGCTGCAGACCTGCCCTCCTCTCCTCTCCTCTGCCTTTTGAGGGATGCTGGGTCCCTGGAGCCAGGGGTGTTAAAGGAGATGGAGTGGGAGTGTGTCACGTGCAAGCATGGCATATGTGTACATCTCTGCACGTGTGAGCATGGGGGTGTGCCACATCAAGCATGACATTTGTGTGCATCTATGCATGTGTGAATGTGCGAGCGTCTCAGCCACATGCAAACGTGATATGTGTGTGCATCTGTACATGTGGGAGTGTGCCAGCCACGTGCAAGCATGGCAGGTGAGTGCATCTGTGCATGTGTGAGTATGCCAGCCAATTTGTGGCTGTAAACACAAGGCTCAGGTTGCTGCTGCTAGAGCACAGTTGACCTGGGCCCTGGCATGCTGTCTGGGTCCACCAGGGCTATTCCCAGGGGACAAACATAGGCCTGCTACCACAGGACCTGGATCCTTTAAGGGATTACATTCACACCAGATGGCCCCTCAGTCTGCCCAGAATGGTCTGGGAAGGTGCTGCAGGCTGAGGCTTCTCCTTCTGCCCCCTTCTTCCCTGACCTTCATGGGGTCTTGCCTGTGGTCTAAGGCCTCTCCCATCGTCTTGGCCACCTTGCATGTAATCTTCACAGGCCCTGATAAATCTCCAGTTGCATCTCATCCTGTGGTGGCACCAGCTTCTTGGAGGACCCAATGAACATAAGTAGTGCAGGGGTAGTGAGGATGGCATCCTGGCTGATGTGGGGGCACAGGGACTCTCTGGTACAAGGCAGAGGCCCAGTTGTTAAAAGATTTCACCAGGACTGGCTTGGGGACTTGTCCTGGTGGAAGGGATGCCTGGAGAGTATGGTGGTTAGAGCAGGATATGGGCCAGTGGGTTGGGCTGGTCACTCTGAGTTGCACTGATGGCTTGCAGAGGGTAAGGGGACACTGACTGGACAGTGAACTGGCAGTGTTGCTTGGGCTCAGTGTAAGAACCTGTTTGGCTAAGAAGAAATCCCATCTCCTCAGTGGGAGAGCTGATGTGGCTGAGCTGGAGATGCCGAGGACCTCTCAGCTCCAGGCATGGCTGAGGCTTGGCCAAGTCTGGTCTGTGTAAAGGAAGGACCCTGGACGGGGAAATCTGGGGTCCTAAAACATGGGCTGGGATGTCTGAGAGAAGCTCTGAGCATGTGGCTATTGGGCCTGTCGTCCCCTTGCAAGTCAGCACCTTCTCTGTGATGGAGGACACTGCAGGGGCCCCATAAGGCATCAGGTGTCCTCCTCTGGGCTGCCTGGCCTTGTCTCCTGACTGCCAGGCTGATGACAAAGGGGAATCCACCTGGATGGGGACCTGCTAGTGTGATCAGGGAGGAAAGAGGTCATGCACCCAAGGGCTGCGGGAGCTTGCCAGCCTGTGTCTGCAGACTCCAGGAGTACCTGGGGCTGGTTTGTGATCTTCTGGTGGCCATTTCCCTGGCCCCCAGAATGTAACTGTGATCTGTGTGCTTGGAGGGTGCAGTAGCTGCATGTTACACTTCAGGCCTGTGTGGTAACAGCACTGTCGTGGGGAAGCCTAAGGGGAAACCTTTGGCACTGCCCTGTCTGTGGCCAAGAGAGTCAATGACAAACAATATTGCATCTTGGGAGGGTGGCAGTGCCATGGAAGGCCTAATGGAAGCAATGGTGCTGGGCCCTGTCTGTTCCATTCTCTGGCCTGGCCCTTGCATAGATTGGTTCCTTGAGACTGGCTGTAGGTCACCTGGGTTCACCCACAGCAGTTCCAGTGTGGGGCATCATAGCATTGTGAGGTCTGGTTAGTAAGGACACTGTGGTACACTCTCTTTCATTCAAGTTAGGGAGGAGGATCAGAGACAGTTTGCACTTTCATGGGTGGGACAAGAACACTCATTCACAGTTTAGTGTCAGGGTGATGCTAAAGCTGCCCTCTGTCCTAATATAGCCGGAGATCTGGACACCTGAGCATCCATCAGGACATGATGCTGGCTCAGTGATGACATTATGGGTAGGAGGAGGAAGAGTGGCAGGTGTGCCAGAAAACCTTTACTGCCATGGGTGGGTGATGAGCCAGCCCTTTAAGAATCCAGGGACCGAAACTTCAGGGATGTTTTGAGGGGTCCAGTGGTCAGGGCTGTGCCTGTTCATCCCTCATAGCAAAAGACAGATGGCTGCATCTTGTATGCCTTACTTTACAGAGGAAGCCCAGGGCCTGGTGGCCCTTTTTGGGCTCTGAAGGAGACACATTTTACCCCTGGGACTGTTGATGTGATTTGCAGCTCAGGTGACAGGAGGACACCAGCTCTGAGGGACCAGGAGCAGGCAATGCCCCTGCAGGCAGCTCTGCTGCCTGGCCATGTGCCTTGCAGACCCATGGTGTCCGTGCCAGAGAAGGCATCAGGTGGCGCTTATGGCGCATCCCAGCAGGAGAGCTGGAGCCCCAGGTCTGAGGAAGGCCCGGCCCCTGCAGAGGCAGATGTCTACTGTTGGAGAAGTGTGTCCTGCTGCTCAGCAGGTAGGGTAGTCCAGACACACATCTCTGCACTTTGGGGACACCAGGACTGGCTTCAGACTGGACACTTTGGGGAGGGTGAGTGTTTGCTGGAATCCTGTCATTGTTACCTCCTCACCCTGTGTGGGGGAATCATGGTGACAGCTGCCCGTATCTCTCCTGGCAGTAATGACAGTAGCCAACACACGGTAGCAGCACCCCACCCTGAGGGCCTGCATATCACACACAAACACCAAGTGCTTGGTTCACGGACTCCTGTCATGCCTCTAGCACAATTCTGCCCCTTTGTAGAGGAAATGGAGGCCAGGGAACTGCAGCAGCCCACTTAGCATGGCACGGCTGGCCAGCAGAGGAGCAGAGCACACCTGCCTCAGGCCCCTTGCAAGGCAACACTGGATGGACACAGAGTGGGCCTTGGTAGGGGCTTCTGAACCACTAAGTCCCAGGACTGCTAAAATGTGGGTTCTGTGGAGATTCATGGGGGACCTGAGACCCTGAGAACTGCCCCTTGAGTTCAGGCAGTGATGAGTCTTATCCTCAACTGTGGGGGCGATCTCAGGGTCCCTGAGGTTCCGACTGACCTAACACTTCACAGTGAAACCCAAATGTCCTACTCCCTCATGAAAACTGAGGTAGCTCTGAAGGGCTCTGTGGGGCCCTGTATGTTCTGAGGTCCTGGCATTGCTTGTCCTATGTGGGCAGCATGTTCTGAGGTCCTGGCATTGCAGGCAGGCTCAGACCTGCCTGCTCCTCAGCAAGTGCTGGGAGCCCTAAGCAGCCCTGCCTCAGCCAGGTGTCCCAGGACCTGAGGCCCCCAGGCCCCTGCAGGCTGGCTGGGCTGCAGTCTGTGCCAGGGACACTGTGGCTCTCCAGGCTCATGGCACCCCATGCTGTGGGCACTGGTCCCAGTTTTTAGCCAGGAAGCTAGATGTGACATTCTAGCCAAAGTTACGTGACTGTGCCATTTTTGCTGCCTTTGATCCTGTTTGTGAGGAGATGGCACCATAGATATGCTTTGATGCTTTAAGTAAGACACTCAGGTGCCACTAGAGAGAGAGCTTGCTGA